GCGCGCGCACGGGCACGGCCGAGGGCGCGTCAGCGGGGCTCGGAGCGGACGGCAGCCGTCGCGGGCCGGACCCGGACCCGGGAAGCTCCCGCGGAGCGTCTGGCCGGGACGAGGGTGACCACGGGCTCCCCTGAGGCCGTGAGAGTACCGTCTCAGCGGACGTGAGGCGCGCTCCTCTGGAAGCAAACTTCAGAAAACATCCCACCTACCGAGTAACTCTGGGCTGGAAGAGTCGTTTCCAAGAGAAACCCGTTGGGGTCCTGAGATCGGCTTGGAAATGGGGCTGGCGCTGTGGAGAAGAGAGGATGGGCACCTAACGGGCTTCCATGCCGGGACGTCCGGCTGGAACGACAGCCCGTAAAAGGGACGCTGCAAACACGGGATCATACAATCCTGACACGTTAACAGTCCAGCAACAAGTATTTTTGAATGAGGGATAAAATGTAGAGGCAAGTATTAAGAAAATGCACTGAATAAAAGTAGCTAACTAATCTTCAGAGGAAAAGATTGGCGTGGACTCACAGCGATGTGATTTGGAAGGGAGTCTGAGGATTATTTAATCAGATTACTTAATCACTCAATGTCTGTACCATTGGGAAAAGCCCTTTTTGTTAGCCCTCTACATGATTTTTATTAGAGAGAGGGTCTTCTCGCCCACCCACCCACACAGTAAGAATCACTGATTTATTCCAACCTCCGTTTTATACGGAGTCACTTTCGACTCAAATAGTGACGCCAGTGTAGGCTTTTCAAAGGAGCTCTGGTAGCGTGGTGGTTATGAGTCGTGCTGCTAACCTCAGAGTCAGCAGTTCAAAACTACCAGCTGCTCAGCGAGAGAATGATGGGGCTTTCTGCTCCTGTAAAGATTTACAGCCTACAGCATGTAACAACAACATAGGGTTTTCAAGGTTGTAAATCTTCACAGGAGCAGAGGGCCTCATCTTTCTCATGCAGAGTGGCTGGTACTTCCCAACTGCTGACCTTGCAGTTAGCACCCCTGCTGGTAACCCTTAACACAACCACAGCTCTTTCCTGTTTATAACAGGGGGCTTCAAAAAGTTTGTAGAATAATGAAAATTTCCCAAGAACTTTTTGAAGCTTATTGAACTAGTTGAGGGAAGTAAGTTGCCTAAAGTTGCACAGATTTGAGTTGACATGATAGGTTATTATTCTGGGTTTATAAAACTAATGATTTTATTGTGTTTTTGGTGAAAGCAAATTTGGTTCTCACTTGACATTTTTGTTCAAAGACATTAGTTACGTTTTTCATAATGTGTCACTGTGTTCTGGTTGTTTCAGTTCCTGTACTCTTATCCTGACCCCTTATCTTCTCATCTTTGTGTCTGTGTTACTTGTTGACCTTTTGGTCTCAGATAGGTGTAGGTGATCACTCATCTATGTCAAGAAATTCAGCACTCTACCTGGCCAATCGATTGAAAGAGATCCATATTTGGGCCCATTACAAAAAAAAAAAAAAAAAAAAAAGTGACCCAACAGAATAGGGAAATCATCAAACAATAGCATTAGCGTTACATGTAGATAAAATTGCCCTGACGATAATTCAAAACTATTGCAGCAAGACATCGACAGGAAGCTGCCAGAAATTCAAACTGGATTCAGAAGACAATGTGGAACTAGGAATGTCATTGCTGACATTGGATGGATCTTGACTGAAAGCAGAGAATACCAGTAAGATGTTTATTGACAATGCAAAGGCATTTGGCTGTGTGGATTAGCAAACTGTGGATAACATTGAGGAGACTGGATATTCCAGAATACTTCATTGTGCTCATGAGGAACCTGTATGTACATAGATCAATAAGCAGGTGTTAGAACAGAGCAAGGGGATACTGAATGATGTGAAGTCAGGGATATAGCCTTTCATGATATTTATTCAATCTGTATATTGGCCAAATAAGCTCAGAAGCTGGATTATATAAAGAAGAACATAGCATCAAGATTGGAGGGAGACTCAGTAACAACCTCTGATATGCAGATGATACAGCCTTGCTTGCTAAAAGCAAAGAAGACTTAAAATACTTTCTAATGAAGATCAAAGATGACACCCTTCAGTATGGATTGCACCTCAATGTAAAGAAAATGAAAATTCTCATGACTGGACCAATAAATAGCATCATGATAAATGGAGAAAAATTTGAAGTTGTCAAAAACTTCAGTTTGCTTGGATCCATGCTATTGGAAGCAACAGTCAAGAAATCAAATGACATACTGTATCAGGCAAATCTACAGCACAGCGATTCAAGAGCAAAGATGTCAGTTTAAGGACTAACGTGTGGTTGACCCAAGCCATGGTATTTTCTATCACCTCATATGCATGTGAGAATTGGACAGTAAATAAGGAAGACCTTGGAAGAATCAATACATTTGAATTATGGTGTTGGCAAAATGGACTGCCAGAAGAAACAAATCTGTCTTGGAAGATGCACAGCCAGAGTACTCCTTAGAAGCCAGGATGCTGAGACTTTGTCTCCATATGATGGACATATTATCAGGAAGGACCAGTCCCTGGAGAAGGCTATCTATTATGCGTGAAAAAGTGGAAGGTCAGTGGAAAAGAGGAAGAACCTCAACAAGTTGGAGTGACACAGTGGCAACAACAGACTTAACCCCAACAGTTGTGAGGCTGGGGCAGGACTGAGCAGTGTTTTCTTCTGTTGTGCAGAGGGTCCTTATGAGTCGGAATGGACTTGATGGCACCTGACAAGATTTTTTTTAACGACGCACCATATTCATGGGTAATAGCCTGTATTTTGTCTTCCAATCTGATGTTTCTTTAAAAGATGAACTCAGGATAGCTTCGGTTTCAAGGTCAAAAAGATATCTCAGGGCTTAAGTTTGTTTTTTGATTCCTTGTCTAGTCCTTTTTCTACCCCACTACTGCTTGGCCTAAGGAGCTCTGGTAGCGTAGTGGTTACGAATTGGGCTGCGAACCTTAAGGTCAGCGGTTCGAAACTACCGTGGGAGAAAGATGAGGCTTTCTACTCCCGTAAGGATTTACACCCTCGGAAACCCTGTACAGGGTCGCTATGGGTCGGAACCGACTCGACGGCACTTAACAACAACAACAACTGCTTGGCCTGGTGTGGTGCAGTGGGCTAATGCGTCAGACTGCAAAGTCATTTGAACTACAAGGTCAGTGGTTCAAGCTCCCCAGTTGCTCCTTGGAAACCCTATACAGGGTCGCTATGGGTCGGAATCAACTCGACAGCACTTAAGAACAACCACTGCTTGGCACATTATGTTTGAGGAAAAGAAAGATCTGGAAGCCATAGTTGACCACACACTGAATGAGTTAGACATCTACTCCGCTGTGAAAATAGGACATTGTCATGAGTCTGTGTCAGAGGCATCCTGGACTGCTGGGTGGAAGACCTGTGAGGTCTTAGGCAAAGCACTTGAGTTTTCTTGAACTAAATCCTTGAGGATCTATGAAAAGAAAAATTAGGGATGACACTCCTTAATTACCTCACAAAGGTGCTGTAAGAAGCAAAGGAGATAATGTACGTGGCTAAATCCAAAAGTTTTGCTTCTTGGGTTCCAGTTCATACATGCACAGGTTTACTCCAAACAAAGCATGTTTAAACATGTCTCTGCAATCAGCGGAGTTTAAACATGTTTAAGAATGCCTCTGCAGTCAGTGAAAGTCCTGATGGGGCGCTGTAGGATCAGCACGAGACTGCTAACCACAAGGTCAACAATTCCAACCCACCAGCTGCTCCTTGGAAACCTTTTCACAGTGTCACTGAAGGACAGCTAATTATTTAGGATGGCCCTTCTAGCCAATGTCTCCATTTTGTAATACATTGTAAATCTTATCCTCTAGACCTATGCTTATGAACCCATCTCGAAATGAGTTGCTAAGGAGTGAAGATTAAGGTGGGGCTCAGGAATAAAGATTATAGTGGTATTAAGAATGCCCCCACCTTAGTAGAGCGTGTGACTCAAGACACCACCCTTAGTTTCCTTGGGGGCATGGTCTGACTCCAAATTCTGAAACTGCTTTGAAAAAGCTTACTCTCTGTTGCCCTGGATCTTGATCTGACTCTGACCTCTAGTTTGTGAGACTTTTAGCCCATCACCTGATCCAACTCACCAGCTCCCACAGCCTTGTGTATCAACAGCCTGTCATCTGACCTACTGATGTGGGTTGCTCAGCTCCTGAGACCACATAGGTGAGAAGATTCCTCCAGACTCAGCTCTAAACCACGGACTTGCGACTTGCCAGTTTCCACAATTTCATGAGCCATTTCTTTTGACAATTGTGAGGTTTGTGGAACATTGCAGTGTGTTGTAGAACCCTGAGGCTTGAGGGCAGGGAGGAGAAGTGATTGTTAGCAAGGACTGTGGAGGGGCATAACATGCCAGAAAGGTCAAACCATTGGGATATCTTTAGCCTTCTGTTGAATTTTGTAAAAGAAATTGTTCATGTAGTTGCTAAAAGTCGGCAGGCACGGACTCGGCAGCACTTGACAACTGCAATCAGTGGGTGGATACAGACATGTTCGCTCAGTAATACACTCGCCTGAGTCTCATTAGGGTGTCTACCAAAATAAACAAAAAGGGCCATTTAAAACAGTGGCTTCTGAGG